ATGCAGAGCAGTAAGAATCACCACCACCACAAACATCATCATCATCATCATCATCATCATGAAGCAGTTGCAGGCAGCGCCATGCCCGGCAGGCGGGAAGGGAGCGCGCGCCTCAGAGAAGCAGAGCCGCGGGAGCGCCCAAAGTTCCCCGGGCCGGTGGCGAAGCGGCGGCGGAGGCGACCGGCCCCCGGGACGGCATGGTGGAGCCGGGCGGACGCAGTGGCTCCGGCAGTGGCCGCTCGCCGTGGCGCGGAGCCTAAAAGTAAAAGCTCCCGCAAGGGCAGGCTCCTCCTCGCGGCTGCTGACATCACACCCTGCCGAGGCTGCTGCTCCTCTCTTCCCCTCAGCAGCCGTCCCGCTCCCCTCCGCCCCTGCAGGCTGCTCCTCGGGGCATCCCCAGTCGGGACCCGGTCCTACCTAGGGAGGGGCTGGGAACGGGCCGTCGGGCCCGGGTAGAGAAGGGGGCAAGAAAGGCGCGCATGAGGAGCCCAAAGGCGCGAGTCGAGACCCGAAGCACGAGGGAGACCGTGAAACCCCGGTTTGAAAGGCCCGGAGAGAAGAGGTCAGACGTGAAGTTTGCCGGCCGACTCAAATAACCGGAAAGGTGTCTGTATGCCTGTATGTGTGTGCACGCATTCGCACGTCGCTACTCTCAGCGTGAAGAAAACCCTTGAGGACTAGAAACCTGGTGGTCCTTTGCTTCAGTCTGATGAACTAATGCCCAACAATGATTTTTTGGCGTTTCCTTTTTCTCCCATAGATACGACTGAGGCAGCCTGATTCTGACTTGTGGGCTGTGGGGATTCTTAAATCCGAGCAGAGAATTTGGCTCCAAATGTGAAAAATGGAGCTGTCAGCAATTTGGATGTCCTGATGTGGACTTCCAGACACACTTGCATGCCTACACACATCTCTGAATTTTTTCAAGCATATCAATGAATTTTTTTCATTTCCTGCCTCTGTAATTCAAAAGTATGTTTCATACAATTTTATTTTCAAGGAATGGTAAAAGTTCTATCCTAAGTGATATGAAAATCATAGAAAGGCATTTTGTTGGTTTTTATTGAGGTAACTGACTATCCTGTAACAAAAACCTCAAAGCATTTCTGGCTGAACAAACATATTTTTTTCAAGGATGTCTACAATTATATTCAAAATCCCAGAAACAAAAAAAATGAATGCATTTACAAACTGCAGCACTTGCATAAAATCAAGTTACACATGGAACTGCCTTGGGCAAGTTTTAAAATATTGGTCTGATCATCATCAAATCTACACTCTTTATTCTAGGAATAATAAATAATATTTATTTCTCTGAACAATTATTTATCGTCTGCTTTCTCTCATCTAAACTATACTTCTTTTTTGGTTGGTTTAATTGTTTCTGCCTAACATTTACAAAACTATGACTAGGTTTAGGTAAAGAGAAAAGACAGGGAAAAAGGGTGTGTGCGACATTTATGCCAGGGGTTAGGGAAGAAAGAGGTAAAAAGGATAGTGGATGGACAAATTAATGCAGAAAAGAATTTAAAACATGAAAACGGCAAGATAACCATTTTAGCAGAAATTCAGTGATCAATCAATGGTGAAAATCAATGATTTGGAAAGTGAGCCTGTGAATTGGAACAAGCCAGTTAAATATGAAAAAAAATGTTGGCATTAATATTCTGTAAAGATCCTATTTTGTTTTCAAATGTCACGGAACCAAAATAAAAGCCAGCAACAAGGAAATAGAAAGCATTTATGAATTGCAATTACAATATTACCCTATGAGTCCGTACTGTTTAGAATATGGTCATGTAATGATAATATAATTACAGTATATACCTGTCTATAACAGTGGTCATGGGTCACTCCTACTTCCTACTGATGTGTTTATTTCAATTTCGCAGTATCTTATTTTTTCCCCCGCCCCCTTTAATAAAAAGTAGTAACCATTAGAAGCCTGGATATCAGCTTGGTTCAAAGGCAGAAGTGTTGTCAAGAGAGCCAGAGATGTAGCACTGGCTTCATCTTTAATTTTATGAGTACCTTGAAGTTTCCTCCAAGTGGTCAGTAAAAAAAATACCTGCAAGCATTCATGCATCCATGATCCCTAAAATGATATTCAACATAACAAAAGTAGAATGAGAATAAATCTGAAATCTCGTGAGATGAACAACACCCACATCTTGCAAGATGCTTGAAGGGAAATTACCAATGATTCTGTACTAGGACTATTCTGTGAGAATGTACAATGACACCTCTAGGTCGGAAAGTGATTGATGCCATGTTAAGATAAAGCCAATCTGCATTAGTATATATTTTCTCAAAATAAAAATAATGTTGCAGAAGATGGTCAAGATCTTCCATTCGCTTCCCTCTTATCACATCCTTCTTCCATCCTTGCAATGTGAATTCTTAGCTAGAAGCATTGATGTGCTGCTGAATCATGAACTTAAACTCATTGCACCAGCAATTTGATATAGCATTAAAGATAATTACTGGCAAAGGAAAAAACACAGGGATAAATAAGTGTCATTTGTAGCTTTTAGGAGAAGATAAAGTATCATTGTATAATCCTCAAAATATTCCACTGTAATATTTACTACTGAAAATATTATTAGTTTGTGCATAGTTAGGAGACTGGGATATTTTTCTGCTGAATCTTTATTTTTTCCCACTTTTACTCTCCTAACTGTTACAGAAATTATCATGTATTTTCTTATTTTTCCAACTTTGAAGAGATTTATTCATTCATTATATCTGCATAGACCATCAACATTTGCAGTGTAATAATTATTTGTGATTCCTTATGCAGTTGTAATTTCTGCATAAATTTAACACTAACAGTAACAGTAAAAACTGTGTTGTTGTGCTGCTGTTGGCTTACACTATTTCCAGCCCTCTCTTTTTGTCTCCAGAATTTTATTTTCCTTCCAATTTTATCATTATGATAAGTCTTATAAAGTGAGATATACAGGTAGTCCTTGACTTATGACAACATTGAGCCCAGAATTTAAGTTGCTAAGTGAGAAATTTGTTAAGTGAGTTTTGGCCCATTTTACGACCATTCTTGCCACATTTGTTAAGTGAATCTCTGCAGTTGTTAAATTAGTAACACGGTTGTTAAATGAATCTGGCTTCCCAATTGACTTTGCTTGCCCGAAGGTCACAAAAGGTGATCATGTGACCCTGGGACACTGCAACTGTCATAAATATGAGTCAGTTGTCAAGCATGGGGATGATGCAACGATCATAAGTCTGAAAAATGGTCATGATACTGATGATACTCAGCTGTACATTTCCACCCCAGGCCACCCCAATGATGCCCTTGACGTGATGGCCCGGTGTCTGGAGGCCGTACGGGTCTGGATGGGGAGAAACAGACTCAGGCTCAACCCTTCCAAGACTGAGTGGCTGTGGTTGCCGGCTCCCAGGTATGGTCAGCTGACTCCATCGCTGACTATAGGGGNCAACCCCAGACATAATTATCTTGCCATTTTGAGAAACATTAAATGTAAATCAAAATCACATATTTCTTCCTTCTCGGTCACTGAAATATACATAACCTACTTTTGGTGATTCACAAGCATCAAATGCTTTTAATTATAAAATTTCCCATTTAGGATTCCAAATATGGAATAACAGATCATCAAACCAAGCAGTTCAAAGGAGCTATTTAGATCATCAAGTCCAGCCCTCTGTTTGTTGTACAATTCTAAATTAAAGCATTCCTCACAATGGGTTATCAAAACTCTACTTGATCATATGTAGAGAAGTGGAATATACTTCTGAAAGAAATTGATTCCACTTCCACAGTTTTTATCGCTGAGTAGTTCAGTTCTTCGTTTTGCACACTTTAAGCATTAGTATGTAAACAATAAAAACGTGAACTTTATAAGCTATTTTGTTCTGATTTTTCATTGGTTTAATAGGCTCCATTACAATCAGCACCCCACTTTTTTCTGTGAAAGACACATTCTAATCTGAAGTCCTCACATATAATGGATTAACTCAAGAATTAATTTATTTAACAAAATCTTTAAAAAAAACTGAAGAAATTAATTCAGTAAATAAAATTTAACATTCAGAAAATGAAATTTAAGAAATTAGAACTTGAACTTGAACTTTAACTCCAGAAGAAATTGTAGAAATATTTGCAGCCTTTTAAAAAAATTAAATTGGCAAGGTTTTTTTTTTTTTCCAGCGTAAAGTGAAAGCGGATTTATTTCACTTATGTTAAAAATTTGAAAAGGATTAACAGAACATCCCTTTTTTCACAGAACATAAAACTAAACCATAGTTCTCTTAGGCTGCACTGCGCAGTCAAATAAGAAGTGCCATTTACTATTTGTTTTAGTAACAACACTTATTGTTCCTCAAATAAAATAAAAGAGGAAAATAATGGAAAAAGATTGAGACAGCAAAAACAAAAGAGGGGAAATAGGTAATGCTAATTTTTGAACACCTGGTATATAAAACTCTTAGATATATTATTCTTAACATTAGAATTTTGACTTTATCACACTCTCTCAAATTATAAGCAAAAGAAGGGGAAACATAAATGAATAAGTAGCTTTTAATCTTTGTATAAATATGACGATTTATTAACCTTGAGGACTCTTACTACAGAACAAAACATGCTTCCATAGTGTTTTTTATTACTTAGAAATCGAATTTGGCAATGTTACTTTACTGGCATCAGATTCCAAGTCGCTTTACCAAGCACATAAATTCTTGTCTCAAAGGTGCTTTTTGAAAAGGCAACTGGACTGATTTCCACCCCCCCCCCCCAGGAAGAAGATGTTTCACTTCTCATTTAAGAAGCTTCACTGGTTCTGGCAGGATGGTGGGGTTAGTTCTAATCCTTCCATCACCTCCACCCTCCTGCTAGAACTGATGAAGCTTCTTCGTTGAGAAGTGAAATGTCTTCTTCTTCCTTGGGGAGGGGGGAACAGTCCAGTTGCCTTTTGAAAAAGTACCTTTGAGACAACTATGACTTGGATGACTGAGAATCTCCACAGACACATAAATTCTGCTCACACATTTCACTTTGACAGCTCACCTACAGGCCATGTATGTAACAGTCCTGATGTCAAAACATGGGGGACTAACCATGGATTTGACAGCATTAACCCAAAGAAATCTCTTAAAGTGTTCCTTTTGTTTGTTTACCATAATCAGATGTGAACAATACAAATGAGTAATGTATTGTAGCTTTAAAGAATTTTAATATTACTCTTTGAAGCATTTGAGGATCTGCTCTTTACAGTATACTGTGTAGGTTTTTCCATGATAATAAATTACAAAAATGTATTAATATCTCATTATACAGCATCCTGGGCAAGACCTAGAAGGCATGGGAAGTCTGAAGACTAAAGTGCAATTTAAGTTTTATGTCACAGCTAATTGTTTTGTGCCTAAATTTTGAAATATAAATAAGGAAGAGTCAGTATGAGTTTAAAGTATTGTTCAGGACAACTGCAAGATTCGGAAAAGGTATTAGGAAACTCAGCTTTTCTACCTATAGTAAACACTTGCATTGGTTGTCCATAACGTCTTTCTCTCTTTATATCCTGTAATTCAGGATGCCCCTAAATTCTTCAATTCACTGACCTCTTCATTAAGTTTCAGATTGCTGATCAACCCCCAAATGTTTACTACATGAAAATAATTTAATAAACACTACTTTAATGAACAGTGCAACAAATAGCAATATTAACAACAAAACCAATGGATAGTCCTACTGATCTTTGGGCGATGAATACCAACCACTTTGGAGAAGCCTGGTGCAACTCTAGATTTCAGAAGGACCTGCCTGTGGAATGGAATTTGGGGTGGCCTATGTCCTCTAGCAAATACAGGTAGTGTTACAAAACCACGTTCTGTTTTAGACTGATAGTTATTGCACAAATCTATCCGATGCTCTGGAATGAAAACCCAGATCCTCTTTTTAGACAGAGCAGGGTTTGAACTTGCCTGCCGCTCCTTCCCCCTGACTCCCCTTAATTGGAAATTTCAGTATTCATTAGGATCAGTTGGGAAAAGGGCAAGCCTTTTAATCAGGTGGTATGTCTGTAGTCAGAGTCTTTAATTGGCTGGTAAAGTGAATGGCACGTAGCTCTCTCATTGGAACTGATGGACCAACTCTTCTCGGGTGATAACAGAGGAATGATGGTAACGATCCCGGGAAGCAAAATCTGTATTCTCTTCAGTGAGTTGAGTGGTCTCCATGCCAACTGTTGCAAAGGTCGGTGTCACAACAAATCGCTCCTCCGGGGATGGCCTTCCCCTGCAAAACAAAAGAGCACAAAACCTTCAGTTGCCCCATTGTTTCCCAATAGATCTGCAGCTGCACTCTGAACTATGTAAATAAAACAAAGAAAGAATGCATTCTGCGAAGCACCCCAAAACTTCACTCCAGAATGGAATGCCAGCTTTTTCTTATGGCTCTAGCATTTGGCTAGAATTCTTTCTTACGTAACAGCTATTCTAAAAACATGCAAGAAGGTTTTTTCTTTTCCACACATATTTGCTCCTTCTCATTTATTGCCAAGTACTTTAGCTGCTCTGATCCACGCAATTAGAAGATGGAGGTTTGTTCCTGTTACAATGTATGCTTTATGGCAAAGGACCAACCTCTTAACATGATGCCTGCTGCTTCCAAACATTCCTTGTTAGCAGGCAACAGTGCTGAGAAAAAAGTGAGAGGGGAAAAAATGAACTGCTCAGAAAGCTTATTGTGTACAATCCACACAATGACCTCCGTCTAATACAAATCCTCTTCTGAATAGGAATATTGAATATCCATGTTTAGACTTTCATATTTCTCTTTAATTTTCAAAGTCTGTATTTTTTAATTTGACTTCTTCACTCCTTAATGCTTTGATCTTTTGTTTAACCTCTTTTCTATTCTTTTAAAATAGTGTTTTGTTAATTCCCTTTAAACTAAACATTTTTTAAAAAAAAACCTTAGCATAATGTTCAATTACATTCACCCATTTCTGACAGTAAAATAGCATTTTCCATACTATATATCACTCGCTAGAGTGGGGGGGGGAAGCTGTAATTAGCCATGAAGGTCTACTTCAAAAGTTTAAAATGACACACATTCACACACAGTGGTTAGACAATTTGTTTTAATAATATTGAACAAACACAGCTGCTGGAAAGCTCCTTTCACTTATCATGTTCCCCAAGTAATGACATAGCAAGATAGATGTAGCAAGATAGCAATATATTATTCCTGGGTGTTCCCAGATCACCAGCCGGTCTTGAGTGAACAAAGCACTCCAGCTAAAGACTCTGAAAACTAACTGTGGAAACCAAATTAACCAGGATCTTTTTGCTTTGAATTAACATTCAGTGGTAAGCTGCTTCCGTTTTGTTTTTTAATGGGAAATGGTACACCAATGTTATAAGTAAAATAGGCCCTGATCCAATGCAAGCATATCTGGGCGAGATTTGGGAGTGGGCAAGGTAAGCCAGGCTGTTTGTTATCAATGTCCTGGGTTCATATTCTGGCAACGATTGTCCAAGGAACATTCTCAGCTGCTCTATAGCTAAGAACTATTTTTATAGCCACAAAATACAGTCTATTGTAATTTGAATGCTTACCTCCCTCATAGATAGTTTCTGAGAGGGGAGATATCTAGATTTTTACTTATATATTGTTTCAATGTCTTGCAGTTCTTGGGTAATTAATAAGAAACTTCTTATTCATTCTTTGTAAACAATTGTCGATTATAAATTCCTTAAAATATAGTTTCAGGACATACACAGAAAGACAAAATTAGGAGGATGATTAGAGGCACTAGATGTCTATGGAGATTCTCAGTCGTCCAGGTCATAGTTATCCCAAAGATGCTTTTTCATGAGGCAACTGGACTTTCTTGTTTTTCTTTGAAGACGTTTCGCTTCTCATCCAAGAAGCTTCTTTAGTTCAGCTCTGAAGAAGCTTCTTGGATGAGAAGCGAAACGTCTTCAAAGAAAAACAAGGAAGTCCAGTTGCCTCGTGAAAAAGCATCTTTGGGATAGAGGCACTAGAAAACAACACTTTTAACATGTGTTAAAGGGAATTGGCAGAGGTTAAGGGAATTGGCAGAGGTCTCCAAAACGTTTTTAATATCTCTATAAAGCTACTAGAAGAAATAATACAAAGGTCCGAGCCAAACTGTTATCCATAATGCAGATGATCTCTCTGTCTTTTACATTTACTCGCCCTCGGGAAACTGCACAACTTTCCCGTGGAATGAACTTTGTGCTGTATGAGAAGGCACACTGCTGGAGCTTGGTAACTACTCAGAGTTGGGTCATATTGCCCTACAAAATAATTAAGCAGTTCTGAATTGTAGAGTTCTCAAGGGGTTACCAGAAGCTTAAGAGTGCTTTTTAACCTTGGTTCAGTTATCCTCCGTTTCTATCACCCAGAGCAGGCTATGCTAATGTCTTTGAAGATGATTTGGCACTTCAACTGATATGACAGTCTAATTGTTCGGTAGGATGACAGCAATCAGAACATGAGCATCTCTGTTGCACTAATGGTAGTCCTCTACTTACAACCTTTCATTTAGTGACCATTCAACAGCACTGGGAAAAAAAGTCTGACCGTTTTTCATATTTACAACCGCTGCGGCATCCCTCAGGGTCACATGCTCAAAATTCAGCTGCTTGGCACCTGGCCTGTATTTAGGACAATTGCAGTGTCCCTGAGTCATGTGATCATCATGTTTTGAGGCCTTCAGGCAAGCAAAGTCAGTGGGGAAGCCAGATTACACTTAACAACCGTGTTACCCATTTAACAACTGCAGTGATTGACTTAACAACTGGGGCAAGGAAGGTCGTAAAATGAGGCAAAATTTGCTTAACAACTGACTTGCTTAGCTATGGAAATTTTGGGTCTCAACTGTGCTCATAAGTCGGGAATTACCTGTTCGAGTCTTGTCTTGCACTAGATTTCTGAGCCCAATATAATGTTCAGTCTTTTAACCAGGAGCCACAAGTTTGTTTTTTTTAAGTTTACAAAATTTACAAAATTCACAGAGAAAACAAATGGAGATGTAGAGATTCTCAATAGGAGCAAAGTGCTTCCATATGTCTTAGCATGTATTTAGTTACTTCAGAAATGGCTTTCACTATTAAATAAGTGCATCAAGGCTTCACTGGGCAGTTTTATAGGGCCAGAAAGCAAGACAGAAAGTCACAGGGCTGAAGTTCAGTGATATGATCCAAGGACAGTCAAGGGGCTGACCGTTACCCCTGCCTAAATCATATATAGCTGAGCCATCGAGAAGACATCTTTTACTACTATTACTTTGAGACTGTTTAGGTTCTCCTGCTTGAGCAGGGGGCTGGACTAGAAGACCTCCAAGGTTCTATTCTATTCTATTCTATTCTATTCTATTCTATTCTATTCTATTCTATTCTGTTCTCTTTTGGCATTAACAGCTGAAGCCCTGCTTCAATGCCAGACTGACTCCGCAGGCACTGCAAAGTGGCTCATGAAGGAAGGACCCACATTGGTTGCTGCTGACATAGTTGCTGCCCAATAGTTGCAGGCATTTTGAAGAAGTCTTATGATTTTTTAAATTTATTTCTTAATCCTTTAAAGGATTTTTAGAGGTAGAAACAGTTAATATTCAGAGTTCAGTATTTTAGTAGTGCTTAGTAATAGGGTTTTGTACTGTACTCAATCACACATTTAATTTTTGGCTTCTTATTTAGTAAAGTTCTAAAATTTTTGTAGCTCAAACTTGTTATTTCATAATTGCAAGTGAGTCCTGTAATGCACTAAATGAGATTTTTTTATATATACAAGGGCTTTAAACTTCAGGGATTTTGTTTTTTCATTACAAATTCATTTGTGACTATTTAAAATCATGGTTATCAGCAGTGCTTTTTTTGTAAAAAAAAAAAAAAAAAAAAAAAAAAGGTGCCGGAACTCACACACGTCATACAACCCGCCTTGCCTACCCTACAAGGTTCCATCCAAAAAAGGTGCCGGAACTCCGTTCTGGGCGTTCTATGAGAAAAAAAGCCCTAGTTATCAGTAACCAATCCTAAATTCCATTAGACTCATCATCAATTGTTTCTCAGTAAAAGCTAGTAGCTTGAGTTGCTCTCTACAAATTAGAGAGAGCGTGGATTTTCTTAGTCACCAAAACCAACCTGCAGGCATTAAGCAAAAGGAGTTTAATCCACTTGAAAAGGCTGAAATTAGCTGCTGCACCTGTAGAAACAAGAAACAAATGCAGATGATTGCAACTGTGCAAAATGTTAAAGAATGGCGCTAGGCAAAACATGTTAGCACAAAGGAAGTTCCTGTCTTCAAAGTATTAAAGCAGCTGTGTATTTTGGAGAATTTGGACACCTGTTTTCTCCAAAGGGAACATCTCTGAGGGGAAGAGTTACAAAAACTAAGAGTCCTTCTTTAAGCCTTAATAATTGAAGTTAGTTTGAGTAAGTTTAACCATAATAGAAATGCAGCTCTCCAAGGTTCTTCTTAAACTAAATTTAATTAAGCAATGCTGGCTCTAAATATTACCTATATTAGGAGACTTTCTAACTTTTTCTCCATGGTGCAATGCTACGTTTCTAAAAGTTGAGAAAAGCTTAACCTTTATTTTGAATTGCAATTTTCAGTATAATTTATTATACCTGCGTAGAAAGCAGCAAAAAATAAATTAGTTGTTCCCAAATATTTTTTAAAAGCCTTTTTAAAGATTCTGCTGTCAAATATTGTTTGCAAGCTAGCTGAAACTGAAAAATGGAAGCATTGTCAACACTTGTGTTCACACCACTGCACTTGTAATTCAAGAAGGACAAAATTAAGGTTGATAGCTTTAATTCAGTGATTCTTCAGGCTGGTGTCAGTTTTTATAAAAGATAGCCACTGAGGTTGTAACTGGAAAAGTGGAAAAGATCCGCATTCTTTTTAAGTCAAATATGATCTTACAATCTGCTGGTATTATATTTTGAATTCATGGTGCTTTTTCTAATCTGCAGTGCAGTAGTTAATTTCTATTAATGTAAAAACTATTCTAGAAATATTTAATTCTCTTTACTTTCTATCTCAGTTTTTAACAACCCCATCATTTCTAAAAAAATAGGTTATTGTCCTAAAACCAAGTTGACAATGAAGAATAGGCAACTTCATTTTCATCTGCTCAAACTTTATTCCACATTCATTGAATATTGTAGGCTTCATTTTTACCATCTTGAATGATTCAGAATAAGACAAATTTATAAATGGAAGTAAAAACTTTAAAGGACTTAAATTTATCTACAAGTGAGATGAGGAGAAGGTCAAAGAATATGAGGCAGACCCAGAAAGAGATGGAGAGGCAAGAACCAAAACGGAGGAGGAGGAGGAGGAGGAGGAGGAGGAGGAGGAGGAGGAGGAGAAGAAAATATTTACCAGGTGGTAGTCCTGGACTTGCTTTGCCAATGTAGAAATACAAAATAATTGCTAATCCCAAATTAACGAGAGTATAAATCCACTGAATAACAAACATAATGGCTAATGAAACTATTGCCTGTAAGAAAGAGAATATTTATGATTAAGCTGTGATAAATTAAATTTAGCTGCTTTTGTTATTAGAATGTTCCTATTTCTGTGGGAAACAAAGTAAGCACTTTACATTCAAAGGCGGATAAGATGTCTTAGCATGTTCTACTTCTTGCCTCATTATTGGCACGATTTCAAAGAATTTTTGGTGCAGGTAAACGAAAAATTATTTAAGTTATTGGGTGAGTAAGTCTTGGGGACATGAAATCTTTAATACCAGAGGCTATACAGTATATCTTTCAGGACCAATTCTTGTCAATTTCAACTTGTTATTAGAGTGTTTGAATTTCCAGAGACAGTTGAACCATATGGGAAAGACAGCATCAGCTCTCAAATTTAATCTGTTTTGTTTTGTGGGCAGGAATGTAAAGATATGAAACCAATGATGTTGCAACAGATTAAGGGTGCATTTTATCCATCTGATACCAGAACTGACCAGGAGAGGCTTCTGGGAAACTTATCCAACCAGATATGAAAATATTAGCTGTCATTCCTAGCAATTGTTATTTAGATGCAGAATGTCTGTAAAGATGAAATATCCAGGTAGTTATTAAAAGTTAAATGCTATTGACCGAGTCCCCCATTATTTTGTACAATAATCATTTTAAGTCTTAGCATTTTAAATGATGTTAAGATATCTCAACTAATAGCCATAGCCAATGCCAGGAAAATTAACCTAGTTATGTGGTTACATGTATGAACTTTTTCATCTTGATTTTTACACTGAATCATGCTGCATCTCATCCAATCAATGGATAGGCCTCTGGTCACGGTATGCCTTAATTAGCCACACTATCTGGAATCATACATGTTGCAGTCCCACATATACCGGCAACATGAAATTAGGGAGGTCTAGAACAGGCAACTTAATTATTTAGATTACATCAACTTCCTGATCTGAAGCATCACACCGTGTTGTGACTTATCCTAATTCTATTTTTTTTCTTTTTCACACTTTATTTTGACCTAGAATAGGAATGCAAACTGCTCACATTTTTTTTTCAGCTACATGGCTCCTATCTAGAAACCCTGTTTCTTTTTTATTATTATTTTATACTACTTTGGATTCAAAAGCACGGAGCATGCTGGGTTTCATATTTAGCACCTGTCTGTAAGTCCTTAAAGCAGATTCTTGTAATCACATGACTCTCTCCATAGTTGTTACACAGTCCTCAGAAAATATGTGTTTGTTTTGGTTTGGTTTGAAGGATTGCAGTGACGCATCCTTTTGTCTTTGAATCCAAAGAGCTGCAAAGTCCTATTCTATGCATAATGATTTGAAGTCTACTACTGGATGAATAGTAACATTCATAACTTCTTGCCTGCCATGTTACAAAGAGGTTTGAAATATTAGAAGGTGACTCACACCAAGCAAGGAAACCCGATGATCACAAAGCTTGGAATAGAAAGAAACTGGTATTTTCTGAATTTCTAATTCTTGGCTTTGTTGTTTTAGATTTAAACCTGCAGGACAAGAGAGAAAAGAAAGCTTTCAAAAATAAAATAAAATATAAGAGGGATACATTCAAAAGTGACCTTTGTGTACTTCTAAAACAAACCAAACTCCACTAGGGATTGAATAGTCTGCCTGAATCAACAAAAAACAAACAAACCATTTTACTTGTAATTTGGCACAATTTTACCTTTGATTCCCTTTCAGAAATTTAGAGTTGAAGAACGAAAACTCCTAGTTCCAACTCACCCAACCCTCTTATCTCTTTCAGAAAATCCCCCAGATTTGACTTTCTCCCTTTTCTAATCTGAAAAATCAGAAAAATCTTAGTCGTGTATTCCGCTTTGAAAGAAACAGGTTTTAGGGAGGTGGGTTCTACAGTTGCATGCAAACATTTAGGCACTCCTGGTCAAATTGTATGTTCCTAAGTCAACAAAGACAGGTACAACATTTCACAATGTAAAATTAAACAGGACATCTTTCTGCATATTGAAATGCATATTACATTTCTCTTTGGAAATATTTCCAAACATTTTCTGAGTCTCTCGGTTCTTGCTTTTAGAATTTATTCCCACTCTTCCTTATTCCCATTCTTCCTTCCTTCTAGCTCGGTGTTTTGATTAGGAGATATTTCACTTAACATAGTTAACTGGGTGAAATTCCGTGTTCCGCAAGCAAACGTCTGCCTGTGCAGTAGTTCATCTCTTTCCATCCCCCTTGCCTGGCCTGATAATCAGCTTCAGACAAAGAAGGAAATTTGGAGCACATTTTGAGGGAATATAGGGGACCTCTACTGGCTCTACTAATGAAACAAATTCTAGCAATGGAAACACCCCAACTGGATTTCACCCAGAGAATGCTGCATGCCTCAGATTCTTTTTACACAATTCTATGCAGGTTTCAGATATGAAAAAAAAAATCCATCTAGGCAATATAATAAATTCCATTTTTAACTCAGAATTGTTTGGTGTAGACTACTACAGCCATTTGTTCTTACGCACTTCGGAATTAATGTTCCGGGTCTGAACATTTGGAATGTATTGCCACCCATGTAAAGATAAAAATAAATGCATCTCACATTGCTGTATGGATGAGGGATGCATATGTACAGCCCTGGAAAAGAGACAGTAAGCAATAAATTGTCTCGTAGTGAATTAACTCTGGGTTACTTTTCCATTGGCAAATTAAATTAAAACAGTCTCTGTGCTCAGTTGTAGAGAAAAAACAGTTTGTCACAAGGGATAACAGCCTGAACACATATAAATGATCATTTCCCTTACTTAAAAAAGCAAATGAGCATTCTTCATTTTCAAATACATAATTTAATGCGCTCCAAATCTTCTTACCCTCCATCTGTGGACTGGGGGCTTTTTGCATTTCATCCAAATGTCGGTCTCCATCATCTTCCTTCTGATTGTTTTTTCTAATAACAGATGGAGATGCATCATTTTCATTCACATCTTGGCAATTTGGCTGTGAAAAATGCTGCGCATTTTTGACACTGGATTCTAGGGAATCGTCGCAAGGCTCCTGAATATGAGCAATGTTGTTCTCGAGAGCCAAACAGAAGCTGTCTTCTAATGTTTGCTTGGCTGCCTTCTTTTGCTTTCTCTGCTTGATCACTTGAGCGGCATCCACATTAGTTTCTTTTAGTTCCAGATCAATTCCTGGGTCTTGATTGACCGGCTTAAAAAGGTGGTTCATATCTTTTGTGAATTCCAGCAAAGTTCCATCTGACCTCCGCTGATCTGTTCCATTTGATCCATAACAAGTTGCTTTGCTGAGTATCAAAGGTCGAGAGCAACTTAGCACAGCCCTGGCATCCTCTTGCCGCATCCTTTTGGAGTTCTGTTTAAGATTGTAGCTCATGGAGACTGAGAAATAGGAATAATCCACGGCAATATATGTGAGCATGAAGTTGATTGTAACTATCGGAGCAAGAACATTCACTTGGCCAATGAAAACGAAAGCCATGGTGATGAGGCTTGTTAAGCAGATTGCAGCCACTGGAGTTTTGTTTGGTCCTTTCTGTATTAAGAACAAAGGGCTAATTACATATGTTATGTATGGACAATAATCTGTCATAAAATATTTCTGGATAATGTTTAAATTATATATAAATCTGCTCAATGGTTTATTTCCTGGCCTACTGTATGTTCCAAACCCAGGGGCTTCCCTGAGATAAATCCTTATCTAAGAAAGAACAACAAAATGAGTTTGCTGACTGCCATTCTGAAGACCCATGTACTGAACAGAACAATAGTAGGGGTGCTCTCGCAACCTTTAACTCTTTGGATCCAGATTACAACATTTATGAGATTCCAGAATAGCCTGCATTTTGTTTCAGGATAATTAGAACTGTTGATCTTAGGAAAAAAAAAATAAGAGGTCCCTCTACAAAAATCTTTGCAAACTTTTCAACAACATCAGCAACAAGCTCATCTCGTATCCACTGAGCCATGAACATAAATTTGGTAACAATTTTCTGCACAAGTGTAAATTTTCTTTACAATTGTTTTGATCATAACTTTTTTTGCAATTCTATGAACTTCCTATTCTTACTTCACCAGAATACAACGGATTCTGCATTATTTCTTGACAATTTCTGTTGTGCCAAATCAATGCTGAATAATTTGATAATTCAACCTCATTTGAATATTTATTCAGATTTGTTTGCTTGTTTATTCATTCATTCAATTTCTATAGCCGCCCGTCTCAGTCAGTGACTCAAAATTAAGAGTCTGAAGCTTATTCGGCAGGCGAAATAGGGTAGGATTGTTAGAAGACTTAGTGTGAAAAGGAGATGAGAGAGGGATGCTTGCAAGTCTAAGGGTCATTATATCCAATTCTCTTAATGGGAAACCATAGTTGCCATTTATAGAATGAACTAAATTGAGCCACACTGAAACAATGTTTTTTTATGCAATACATTACTAATGTTTATTGATATCATACACTTTAAACAATGTCTCTAACATGTTTGAAGACCAGCAGTTCTGGAGAGAAGACTGACTCTATAGAGCAATGACGTCCAGTAAAAGACCCTGGGAAATTATTACACAAAGAGGACAGTGTATGGCACTACAGTAGCTTGGTTTGTTTTAAAAATTAAACAGAGGTATATGTTGAATGGTATTAGCAGTGTGGAATGAAAGTTCATTCTAAATAAACTTCATGATTTAGAAGTGTTTTTCAATATAATATCACAGCCTTTCTTATTCAGAACGATCAAAGGTCTAAACCAGGGGTAGTCAACCTTGGCTCTTTTATGACTCGTAGACTTCAACTCCCAGAATTCCTGAGCCAGCACAGCTGGCTCAGGAATTCTGGGAGTTGAAGTCCACGAGTCATAAAAGAGCCAAGGTTGACTACCCCTGGTAAACAATGCTGATCAGAGAGCTGCCTAGGGAAATCTATCATGGGTGACAAAATATCTATACACTGAAAATAAACAGAAAATGCCTTCCTTGTTTACTAACCCCATGTCCAAGAAATGCAAGAAGAGGTATCACTTTCTCTTGAGCAATGCACTGAAGGATTCGGGGTGCTCCATAGAGACCTCCCATACAAGATGCTAAGGATGAAATGTATAAACCAAGTAAGAATAAGAAGCCCACCAAGGATACCTAAGAAAAAGAGAGAAAGCATTTTTTTTTCTTGATTAATATTCGGAAGGCACATTTGACAAAAATCACTGTGGCTTACACGGATTATTGATATAATAACTACTACTACTACTACTACTACTACTACTACTACTACTTTATTGTCACTTTGAATGTACACCAATTGACATACATCAAAATGAAATTTCGTTGCATACAGCTCTCAAAGGGTCACCACCCCCGATATACACTCCTTGTTCGTGGCCAGCTCAAGTTTCAGATCGTCCATTTTAGTCTCTAGGGAGTGAACAATGGCAAACAGGACAGATGGAAACAGGACAGACAGGTCCATGACATAATACAATAACTAAGAAAATGACTCAGATAATTTGGTGCTCAAATCTCACCAGCCACTAGTAGAAGCATAATAACCTTATATCAAATTGGACCATCAGTCCATCTAGTTTAATACAGTACTGCCTACATTGACGATTGGTGATTTCCAAGAATTTTAGTCTGGATGCATTGCCAGCCCTATCTGTAGATGATAAGTATTAAACTTGAAATAGTCTGAACAGGAAGCAAACCCCACCCTCACTAGCATCGATGATGTTACCTAATTGGGTAATGAAACATCTGCAAGGAAACAACCAGGCTCAGAGAACATCAAGGTGTCCACAGTTCAGCCTTGAATTACAAATATTACCTGCTATAGTCTGAACGCAAGTATACTGAACTAAAGCCCTTTTGTTAGCAGACTTTTCTCAGTTTCATTCCCCATCAGAAATAAGGGAGTAACAGCATGCTTTACAATTTTGGCATAAGGATTTGTTCAGATAATGCATATACAAAACTTGAAGAACTGTGTTAAAAAATTGTCCTAATCAGTCACAAACCACTGAGAAGCACTTTGCTGCAAGAAAACATTAGCATTCTGTTGGTATTCTGTCCCTAATTAACAGCACAAAAGAATATACTTTAATTTGCTTTGCCCAGAGTAAAGCAACCCAATGGGAAAAGCTTAATTTATCAGCAATTTCAGAAGAAGCAGATATTTTATCCCATTTACATACCAGAACAGAGTTGCAGTCCAGGAGAATGTACTTACGTAATTTCATATAGACTAAATTCAGATAATATACTTTAATTAAATAACAAGTTTTTCTATGACATGTTTCAAATGAGATCCTCCAGCAAATAATTTTGGACAGCAATCTAAAGAGGCAGTTACTTCTGGATCACTTCAGTGGGGTATGCAAATTGAATAATGGATTTTTGCCCTTACTTTCCAAATTTAAATCTGCAAGATTTTTTTCTTCAAACAACAAAATCTAAGACTTTACAGTCCTATTCTTTTAGTGTTAGTTTGGTTGCAAGTCATATTGAGTTTATTGGGTGTTAATGCTAAGTAAGTGCACAGGTTTGAAGTGTTATCAAGATATTGTTTCCAACTCCTGGAACCTTTGATTATAATCCCTCTGGGCAATTTGTGCATGTTAACAAACAAAGCTAGTGCATTATTCCCTCTTTCTCCCCCTATTCTCTTTTATCATAGCTGAATGCTTCACCTTGGCATCCTGTTCTGCATGATTAATTTTTCCTCCTAGACAATAAAGCCCAAAATCCTGATGCAAAGGAAAGTAGGCCATATGGGATAATGTCTGTTAGTTCAAAACTCCAATCATATTTGTCCTATTTTCCAGGGATGATAAACGTGCCTTCAGTCTCTAGCTAGAAATCTGTGCTGCAAATAATTATAACCACCATAATTAGGAATGCCAAACAGTAACTGAAAATTGTGGGCTATATTATAACACAGACCTCTGAAGCTTTACTAAAGTCCTGTGCTCTACAGGACTTTAGTTGGTAAGTATTACAGTTAAATTTTGTTTCTGGTTAGGACAGGAGTCTGCTGCACAAGGAGTCCTGGAATTCATTTAAGATGTCAGAATTCATCAAGCTCCACCAAACCAAGCCAACTTTATTTATTTTTAATAAAAACTGTTACATACAAAGTACAGAGAAGATGTGGTGATAGTTGGGGAATATATGGAATATAATCTAATAAAAATAATTTGAAAATGGCATTGTCAGGTAACAGTACTTAGTGCTAGATCATGCTTTGTACATAATTGAAATGGTCACATTCAAAGTGCCACGATATTCCACTCACACTTTCTGGGGAAGATGCTTTTGCATTGAGACAGTCAAAAGTATATTTTCAGGTGCAACTCCTATCATATAGTGCTGACAAATTCTTCATTGTTACAGCTCATATATTCCTTTTTTCTCTGGATCAGGCTGAAGGTAAACCCTGAAGCTGAGTTGATGTGGATACATATGTTGCCATCAGAGTTTTTCCCTGGCCAATAAGTCCATCAGAGAATAGGTTCATGAAGGGGAGGGGTCCTTCTAGATTTATGGCTCTTGCTGTGACAGCAGGTAAAAACTGTGACTAAAGGGCCCGATCACCAACTCTTCTTGCATGTGGGCACCCTATCTGGGGCTCTACAGTAACTCTTTTATCACCATCTGATGGGATTACTGTAACAAACTCTTCTTGGGTCTATCATTAAAGACCATTAGGAAACTACAAAATGCAGCAACCCACAAACTTGTGGCTACCATAGTTGAGAGTGTATAGCACTGCTTTTCTACACTGGCTGCCAATTGGTTTTTCAAGTACAATTTAAAAAATAGAATAGAATAATAGAGTTGGAAGGGACCTTGGAGGTCTTCTAGTCCAACCCCCTGCTTAGGCAGGAAACCCTATACCATTTCAGACAAATGGCTGTCCAGTCTTTTCTTAAAAACTTCCAGTGTTGGAGCATTCACAACTTCTGGAGGCAAGTTGTTCCACTGATTAATTGTTCTAACTATCAGGAAATTTCTTCTAGGTTGCTTTTCTCCTTGATTAGTTTCCATCAGGTGCTTTGGAGAATAACTTGACTCCCTCTTCTTTGTGGCAACCCCTAAGATATTGGAACACTGCTATCATGTCCCCCCTTCATCCTTCTCTTCATTAAACTGGACATACCCAATTCCAGCAACCGTTCTTTATATGTTTTAGCCTTCAGTCCCTTGATCATCTTTGTTGCTCTTCTCTGCACTCTTTCTAGAGTCTCAACATCTTTTTTATATCGTGGATGCAGTATTCCAAGTGTGGCCTTACCAAGGCATTGTAAAGTGGTATTAACACTTCACGTGATCTTGACTCCATCCCTCTGTTAATGCAACCTAGAATTGCGTTAGCTTTTTTGGCCGCTGCAGCACACTGCTGGCTCATATTTAAGTGATTGTCCACTAGGGCTCCAGGAGCCCTCTCACAGTTACTACTATTGAGCGAGGGACCACCTATACCAGGGGTGTCAAACTGCCAGTCCGTGGGCTGGATGCATCACGTGGAAGCTGTGCCCACCACAGCTCCGGCAAGGGCAAAAAAGTCACGAAATGTCGCAACACGTCACGTGAAGTGGCAATTTTGACAACCCTGACCTATACTGTAAAAAGTTAGCTTGGTTTGTTTTTCGCCTACAGCATTGCTATCAGTACCAGAGCAGCCGATTTGATCAAGTAGAAAGAAGCTACTATTGATGGAGATATCTGGAGAGCTAAAACAAGGGGGTGCTGGTTTTCTATTCTGCAGAACAGTTTCCTCACTGAGATCAGGCTTGCTTTTTCTTGCTAATATTTCAGAAAATTTTAAAGGGCAAGTTATGATGGACAGCCTTCTCCTGGTTTTGTTAAGCTATTTATAGTCTCTTTTTTATGGTCTGTACTTTTTTGTTTGGGTGGGTTTGTTTCACTGTTTATGACTGTATTGATTTTTATCTGGTTTTATACTGCCTGTAAGTCACCAATTGTGATGGGGTAGAAATGAGATTAATAAATAAATATAAATAAATAAATATCCAAATTGCATTTGAGAATAAAAGTCTTCCTGAAAATAATGACATACATATCCTATCGATGTGTAGAAATGGAAATTCTCCTGTGCATGGTGAAATCTAATTCTGCTGGAAGCAAATTGTAGTTTAATCCTCTTGTCACATTACAGCAGTTTCTTCTGCACAAAATGGAAATAAAGCTCCCCTTTCTCATTTTGCTTCATGATGCATAAAGATGGATGCAAGAATTCCATTGAAAACAAATTGCTAAACATTTGCTTTCCCCAAAAGAAAAGTGTAGACTGATCTTCCATATTGCCTGTATTCCCTCTGTTTATTTAAAGTAACATCTATGCATATGTCTTCTTATTATATCTATTAAATACACATTCTGACAACAAAGCCAGCCAACACTGAATAGGAACTGAATTCTCAACTAGACAGGGGATATAGCCTTGCCATATAAAGCAAGAGAAATCCATGAATAATAGCTTCTGCCTACAAATTGAATGCAGGACTACCCAGGCACACCGTGTGATGTATTTCCTGGTTAGGTATTCAACTTATTGGGTGAGTCAGTCATTCTTTGTCAGCTTAATTTATTTTACAGAGTTGTTAAGACAAAATGAAACAACCCCACTCTTGTTGTTCTGAAATACTGGCAAGAAAGGCAGGATTGCAACTCATGGCAATAGTTGAGGAGATGAATCTTTGAGTCAAAAGATTTAAAAAGCCTACTAGGCACATGCAAGCACCAGGAGCACAATCTGATATTCTCAAATGTATATTTGAGAATCTGGTAGACTGTTATAGAGTCTGGGGGCCACAGACTAATAACCAATGGTTTGAAATATTTTTTTTTCTATTCTCTGTATGATAAATTTTTTTTCATGTCATACAACCTGTCTCTCTATGTACCAGCTTAATGTCATAAAATCTGATTTGAGGCTAAGTGAAAAATAAGGTGCAAGGCTCAGTTAATACAGTGGTAAGAAAGTAAAAAGACATTATATTATGTCTCATGTCATATATACATACTGTGTTTCCCCAAAAATAAGACCCGATCTTATATATTTTTTGCCTCCAAAAGAGGCACCAGGTCTTATTTTAGGGGGATGTCTTACCCTCTTATCTCAGGACCACCACAGCCAGGCCACAGCAGAGTTCCCCAACGTTTCTGGCTTTGCGGACTGGTGTGTGGGGGGGGGAGGGAATGGTGCCACATGAGGGTAAGTGCACACATGCACGCACCCAACTCCATTTGTGTGAGCGGCCTGCTGGTCAGCAAATGGAGTGTGCACATGCGCTCGCCCACTGCTTGCGCAAATGAGAATGCATGCGCATGCATGCTCTCCAGCCATTTCCGTGGACCAGTTGCAAACCACTCATGGACCACTAATAGGCCGCAGTCTACAGGTTGGGGACCTCTGCCCTAGAGGCTCTCTCCTAACTATGGGAATAACTTTGAAGCATATCCATGGAGCTATAGGTGAGAGGAGGTTGTACTCCTTACCGTTGATTCTGAGAAGCAGTTTGGTCAATAGATAAACATTAATACTCTTCATTGGGAGACCACATAATTTAATTCAGAATTAAAATATTTGCCTTATGTATTCAAAGTTACCTTTTCTGCTATCATAAAATTATAGCGGAGTGAGTCTCGGGTACAAATAGCTCCCAGTAAAAAAACAAAAACAATGTATAAAAACCACCTGCAAAGAAATAAAAAAAAATATCACAGCTTTTTTTAAAAATAACTTCCTTAATAGCATAAGCTGGTTCAGTAAGCAGTAAGTTTTCTTTGCTCTGAAAAATATTTTAATCATTTTAGGTAAAAATGTGGATGCAACTGAAATGGATGCAAGTTTGGAGGCAAATGCTAGAGGAACATGATTTCAATCTCACTCTCCAAGAATGGAAAGGCACGACCCAACTACGAATTGGGAGATCCAAAGTTGGAAATTCTCTCCCACATATAATTGTAACTTTAGGAAAATGTATTCTAACATAGTTCTGGTGCCTAGATTTCAATGGTAGAGGAGCCATTGATGTTGAAGGGGTACCTCAGTACTCAACTGCTTCAAAACTTGTCAAACTTGGTATTTGGTTCACTTTGACATGAAAGTACTGTCCTGGTACTTATTGTTTGTTTGGTATCGACGCTCTGCGATAGGAAAAGGGGGAATGGCTGTGGAGAATGGACAGGAAGTCAGCCATGTTGGGAAGGTTGCTGACAAAGAAAAGGGACAGACAAGAAACCGAAATAAAAGTTCACGTGGTAAGTCACATGATTTGTTTAGCACTCGTCATTTTTAGTACTCCCGGAACCAATTAATGATGAATACTGAGATACCATTGTACAAGGTAGTTCCACTGAGGAAAAGGGGCCAATCTATCTGTTAACGGGCAGATGTAGAAACATCAATTGTTCCTCTATCATCCAAATCTAACTCCTAGAATAGATCCTCAATTTATCAGTCAGGATCTATTTGCTTAGGACTAAGGATACATTGCTAAAACATTTCATAATTTTATGAATTATGTTTATTATAGTTTTTTATGATTGTATCAAAAATGATGCCTAGGAATTGAATTCAAATTAAATTGGATCCTAATAATATGTGATTAATTCTTGCACATTTTTGAAAACAACAATGTTCCTCAAAACAATTAAATCAGAGTCAGAGAGCTAAGGAAGCTATTTGTAGTTATCTTTTAATCAGATTATTGTGAAAAAGATAATTCATTGCTATCATGTATGTACCAAAAGCTGAACTGAGCAACCTAAACAAAAAGACAGGATATACTCCCTCAAAGATGCAATATAAAAGTTGGAGTATTGAAAACAACTAAAAATAGAAGGGAAGGGAAAAGGGACAAGAATGAGAGAACAGTAAGAAGGAATGTATTCATATATGCATATCAGACTAACACTGATTATGGTATCTAATTTGGGTAATGAAATGTCTGCAAGAAAACAGCCAAGCTCAGAGAGCACCAAGGACCCCTTATTTCAACCCTAAGCTACAAATATTCTCCTTTATTGGGATTTATTAAGACCAATGTTACACATTTTGTAACAACTGTAAATGTTGAAAATGTAAAAATGTAAATGGCTAAAAAGTAGTTTAAAGGAGAGAGGTGAGTCCATATAATGAGGGGGATTACTACAAGGTTGTTTTTCTTTTCTTCAAGATTGACTGAACCTTTCATCCTTCCGAGATCGGTAAAATGAGGAGCCAGATTGTTGGGGGCAATAAGCTGGCTGAGTAAACTGCTTAGCGGGGGCTGTAAAGCACTATGAAGAGGTATATAAGTCTAAATGCTATTGCTATTCTTGTTGAAACCCTCCTGAAACCATGCTCTGGCTTACGAATATAATATGATTAAGGCTCATAATCTTCTTTACATGCTCACACATAGCATACCATTCAGCAATTGGATCTAACTTCTCTAAGCCTACAAAATATTAGATCCTGATGTTTAACTGCTGTGTTATGAAGTAGCTATCCAGCAAGGAATGTACTCAAGTCTTTAAGTCCTGTCTCACGTTCTCTGACTACAACTGAAATCATTCATCTGTAAAATGAGAAAATATCATATAAACATCAAGGTACCCCATTTACTTTGTGGCGAGATGGGCAAACAAATCTAATGAATTACTAATGAATCCGCAGCAGGCAATGGGCCTGCTTTAGTTAAGAATCCTTCCTAAAAATCTGTGTGCTATAAAATGTATCTAGGGATTTGTAGGGAGCATAAGAAAAGACAGCCCATATCTTACATGTCACTTATGTACTAGGAAAGACAGCTAATTATTTATTTGTTATTTTTATTGACCAGTCTTAAATTTATTCTGAAAAGGTATATGTTCCCTAAATTTGGAAAGGTGAAAAAGATGGGAGGATATTAACTAATTTATCTCTTTGTAATATGTCCAGGGCAGAAAGTGACCAGGGGTAAACAGCTGAATCCCTGCCAACTTTTATACAGAAGAGAGAGAAAAAGGAACGGTTATTATAATGGAAAATGGACTGACTGAAGAACAGAGATGAGCAGAAAGTTAGTTTGAGCAGAAAACAAATGCTTCATTTTTTTTTTATTTATAAGACTTACGAAATGCCAATGGCAGATAAAGATCCTATAGGGATATCCGTTGCGGGTTTCCTGAGATCCCCACTCATATTAAACCCAGCCATCACTCCTGCAATTTGAGCACACACAAAAACAAACACAACAGTGTTAGAGGGCTGTAAGACGATGACCTTTTTAAAAAAAAAAAAAACCAAAAAAAAAAAAACCCCAACCCTGGTGCACATACTGATATCGGTGCCATGTATACAGCTTCATGATTAAGCAGCTAGGTCTCCACTGGCAACAGGATGCTAACCACATACCCACAAAGAGATTCTTTGTTCTAAATTGGACAATGTACTAGAAGAAAGGCACAGATTTAGACAAAAACAGCTTATCTGAAAACTATCACTTGAAAACAGTCCCTTTCCAAATGCCGGCTAACACTGACCTTTCAACTAGGCTCCCCATTACATGAGTGGTTATCTCCATATACATGACAGATTCTGACACTTTCACAGGAAACTTTTGTTCCCTGTTTTTTTTTAAAACAATAAGCCTTCAGACTTATATTAATGTCTGACGACTCCTTACCTTTTGGAAAAGGTGGCTCTTTATACAAATAAGTAAATTAAATTAAAAAGTATTAAATTGAACTACAGGTAGTCAGTCCTCAGCTTACGACTACAATTGAGCCCAAAATTTATATTGCTAAGTGAGACAGTTGCTAAGGTGAATTTTGCCTCATTTTCAATCTTTTTTGCCACCGTTGTTAATTGAATCACTGCAGTTGTTAAGTTAATCACCCAGTTGTTAAGTGAATCTGGCTTCCCCATTGACTTTGCTTGTCAGGTCACAAAATGTGGTCACCTGACTCTGGGACACTACAACCGTCATAAATATGAGTCAGTTGCTAAACATCTTATCAGGTGACCATAGGGTTGCTATAATGCAGTGGTGGCGAACCTATGGCATGTGTGCCAGAGGCGACACTCAGAGCCCTCTCTGTCGGCACGCATGCCATGCCCCGGAGATGGCGAGGGTGACCGGGAGTGGTGGGACCGGGGTGGTTGGGTCAGACGGTACTGGTGGCGCCGGTGCGGGTGGGTCGTGGACCACTATTTATTCACCCAAAACCCAACGTCAAACCCGTGACCCAGAGATTTTCCAAGCGGTAGTGACGATATTACCAATACACTTTTTACCAGTACAGCGAAAAAAGACACGACAACATTGAAGCTTTGGTCACTAAATGAACTGTTGTAAGTCAAGGACTACCTGTATTTGCGATGTCACACTGAAATATTTAATAGGAAATGGAAATAATTATCCGACAATTCTAATATCATTTTATCTTTCAGTAAAAGAGTATTGAGCCATATTTGCAGCCCAAAGTCAATTAATAGGATCAATATCCACCATCTATTTAAGAGCCATCAATCAGTTAGATATGTCTTTGCCCAAATAGAGCTTTTGCTTTCTTTTAATTCACTCTAGTTCCAACCAGGAGATAATCCACAAGTGTTTGACAACTTATATAGTTCGATGCTTTCTACATTCATGCTCTGTTAAAGCGGTTAAGGCCTCCATAAGAATAATGAGTATCAACTATAAGTTTATGGGTCTTTTTATTAATACATAAGCTTTCACAATACTAATCATATTTATACAGATCACTGAATTCAGTGGGCCTTATTTCTGAGTAATCAAACTTAGGATTGCTGGGCAAGTAAAACACTTCAGTCAAAAATCATCAGACAGAGGAATATATTCCAGTTCACAAAATAAGTACTGTATATGGTAAATATTTGTATACATCCAAAACAGCTTAACAGTGTTTTAAAATCACCTATGATTCTTACTGATCTAACTGCAAAATCAACATATCCCAGGCCTACAAGTTTGCATTCAACTCATTTAACAGTTTTATTACTTGGATGATAAAAAGTCAGTTCTTAACTATCACATGATAAAATATTTGGGAAGAAAACTAGAGACTTCCTCTGAAATGCTTTAAGTACCAAGTATCAATTTTTAAGAAATGAGCTGTTTTGTTTGACGGTTTTGCTTATATAAGTATATAATAACATTAAATCATTACCTTTGTCTCTCTGGGGCACAAGGCAAACAAACATACATACAAAGAACAGAGGTATTCAGGGGAAAAAAAAAACACAAACGCTTCAATTTATAATAGTGCAATTGTTTCCCTTCAAGGAAATTGGAGCAAGGAGTGACTTAGCTCAATACTATGGATTAGCATCAATGAGATCGAATCATCACCTTGAATTCTGGTACAGTGCAATGAGGGCTAGAAAGAGCTTGGCCTGTGCAGCCAGAGATCAAACGGCTTCTGTGACACCACCAAATTTAGTTAAATTCTCATCCATTTTTATAGAGAATGGCTCTCTTGCCTACATTACTCAAGCTGCGTTCTCCCTCCCCGAGCATAAGAGCAAATCTATGTTTATTTTTTTCTAAAATGAAAAGAGACAAAGAAGCAGATAACAAACTACAGGAACAGAATCACCCACCTGAAATTTTTTTGCTGAGCAGCAAGCATGTGATAAAGCACAGATTTATAGAACTGTGTTAGCAGAAAAAGGTGCTAAAAATAATACCAATGCAGTTGTACCTCGACTACGACGTGATATAGAAAAAAATTTTTCAAAAAACGGACACGTATACTTGTACCTTACTGAAAGTAGGGAACGTAGAAAATGTAAGTAATATCTGGAAAATTTTTTTACCTTAGTAAACAAGTGATGGTCAATAGACCACCTACGTCAAATCAAAACATTTGCTCTCTCTTTATCCTCCCTTTGGCCACTGCATATTCTTTAGTAGATTTCAATAACCCCAGCCTTACTCCCTTCTATTATTATTGTTGTACCTTTGAGTCAGTATTTACTCCTGGCGACTGCCTGAATAAGTCCCTGCAGTTTTCAGAGTGGTTTGTCCTTGACTTGTCTCCTTCTTCTTGGAGCTGAGAGAGGAGGGACTGGGCCAAAGTCACTCAGCTGGATCTGTGACGAAGGCAAAGCTAGAACTAGAACCAGTCTCCCAGTTTATAGCCTGGTGCTTAACCACCACACCAAACTGACACTTCTAACACTTGTAACCAGTTTCAATTTCTTCTGACTTTAACCACTGCAGAAACACCTACCTTGATTATCTACTAAAATGCATTGCAATATGCACTGGGGATAAGCAAACTATTTTGTTTTGCACTCAGTTTTTTTTTTTAAAGATAGCTCTGTAAGAAAAACTCACAAGGCCATATGTCTGAAATATTTTTTACTCAATGATGCAAGAAAGCCATGATTCTTATCTCAAAAGCAGCTAGAAAAAAAAGGATTCTAGAGAAAAATTAAAGCAAGAGGATAAATCAGAACGTATTTTACATGCTCCATAAGCGAGGCAAGGACAAGGATTTTAGTCTTCCGAGTATTTGGACTTGTTCTGGAGCCCATCCTCAGGGAAATTCTCTCTACCAGAATGGTCCTGCAATTCTAGTGTGGTTACAGGTGCCAAAATCAATACACAGAGATAATCTGTATCCAACAAAAGATAGGCCAAATGGTTATGAGTCTAACACAATGTGCTGGAGATTAAAGAGCTTGAAAAGAAAATATGTCTTACTTAGTTCAAGATTAAGTTGTGGCAATTCAATCAGCAGTCGAAGTAATAAAAGGTAATTTGGATACTTTTAAAAGAATACTGGGTAATTTTACAGAAGTGCTGGGTGTGCCTATATGCTGAATTTTAAGCTGCCTGCATGTCTTTCTACTAACAGTCCAACAGAATATGCTGGAGCTAGAATAGTTTAAATAGGAATCTAAGAGAAGGAAGGAGTTCGGTGGAGAAATACATGCAGGAGATTAAAGTTTGAAAAGAAAATATGGACGTTTGTGTGGTACTGCATTTCAGAATGTTCTGGGTACAACAAAATGTGATATACAAGTATTAAAATTAAAGAAATAAAAGTGAAGTGATAGGTCTCTGCTGGGGTAGGGAAGGGGGCCAAGTGAATAAAAAGTGAAGAACTGATGTCACAATGCCGAACACTGAGTAATGTACTTGCATTTTTAAATATAATGATAGATGCTTGGTAAAAACTTGAAAAAGAAATCAACAGAATTAAAAAGTAGGCACAACACATCAACACTGTACAGCAGGGGTGGGCAATTAATTTTCCTCAGGGGCCACATGAGAAACTTGGGCTGTTATAGAGGGCCACCGCAGCCGTCTCCCCCACCCTGCTGCAGTCATGGACTGAACAGGGACAGCCAAAGGGCTGGACGTAACCTGTGGGCTGTAAAATGCCCAGATCTTTTATACAGGGTGTTATGAATCTATGGTATACAGATCTGTTATGAATCTATGGTATATAAAGTTTCACACAACTATTTCAATAAAGGGTGACCATATTTCATTGCAATTATGCACACATATAATCTATTTCTGTAAACAACTTGTTTATAAGTCACAAATAATATGAGATGTTCAATCCGCTGAGTAATAGGGGCTACAAATTTATTTTTCAAATGTTGACATTTTTTCTGTCATTGTGGTTAGTAGTATGAAGACTGTCTCTAGTCTGGCACTCAGGTCTCCAGATCACTGACTGATTCATGCTGATATTGAAAAACAAGGGGGAAAAAAAGAACAGAAACCTATGGGTACTAAACACACAAATCAGGGGGTTGAACAGAAATCTTCCGCTGCCATTTTTCAGTGTAGTTCAGAATGGGAATTCATGCTTAGGAAACTGGACATTCATGTATCAGAGTGTTTGAATGCAGAATATTTTCCCAGAGTAAATCTATAAAGCAAGCCTGCTTTAACGGCACTAGGCCTGTATCTGAAGCATTCTGCATCATGGTGAGAGGCCTCCTCTGAATAGTCAGCAGTTTCTGCACACATGATTTAGAATTTTCTTACACTTTTTTCACACTGAAATTCTCTTCTGGCTATTGGATTTTCTGGAGAAGGCCCTTGGAACTATACGAGACAAAGCCACATAGCACTTTCATTTCACCCTTCAGAAGCAGGGAGCTGTGCTGTTCCACGAAGCAACTATAAGAGGTGCTTTGTTTTAAGAAGTACCAAAGCAAGGCAACCCTCTAA